CTTGCTGAAAGCCAGGAGGACCTGAAGTCCTTGACTTCTGCAGCAAGCATTTCAGGTCCTCCTCAGTTTTAGCAAATAGGGTTATATCATCTGCATAACGTAGGTTGTTGATCAGTCTTCCTCCAATCCTGATGCCACATTCCTTCTCATAGAGCCCAGCCTCTCAGATGATCTGTTCTTCATATAGATTGAAAAGATATGGAGATAAGGCGTATCCCTGGTGTACACTTTTCCCAATTTTGAACCATGCAGTGTTTTCTTGCTCTGTTCTGACAACTGCCTCCTGGCCCAAGTATAGGCTTTGCATAAGCACAATCAAGTGTTCTGGGATCCCCATTTTTCTCAGAGTCAGCCACAGTTTGTTGTGATCCACAAAGTCAAATGCCTTTGCATAGTCAATGAAACACAGATAGACATTCCTCTGGTATTCTCTACTTTCAGCCAAGATCCACCTAACATTAGCTACAATATCCCTAGTACCATGGCCTCTTGTAAACCCAGCCTGCACTTCAGGCAGTTCTTTGCTGGTGTGCTATTCCAGTTGTTCTTGAATAATCTTCAGTAGAATCTTGATTGCATGTGAAATCAATGATACTGTTTGATAACTTCTGCACTCTGTTGGGTCACCTTTCTTTGGAATGGGAACAAATATAGATCTCTTCCAGTCAGCTGGCCAAACCAAAGGGAAGAAATCAAGGTATTAAAGAGTTAAACAGAAGATTCCAAAGGGCCATGAGGGAAGACAAAGTATTACAAGAAATGTACAAAGAGCTGGAGTCAGAAAATCAAGGGACCAAACTTGCTCAGCATTTCTTAAGCTCAAGGAACTGAAGAAGAAATTCAAGCCTCAAATTGCAATACTTAAGGATGCTTTGGGCAGAATATGTAATGATCCAGGAAGCATTAAAAGAAGATGGAAAGAATATACAGAGTCATTGGACCAAAAAGAATTGGCTGACACAGAAGAATTTAATGAAACAACGTATGAACAAGAGCCTGTGGTGATGAAGGAAGAAGTTCAAGGTGCTCTGAAAGAATTGGCAAAAAATAAGGCTCCGGGAATTGATGGCATACCAAGTTAGGGAGTGATTTTAAAAATTATTGCTCCTGCATTCTGTGTAGTATTACATCATGTGAATGTACTAGAATTTCTCAGTCTATGCAATTTTAGGAGTGTCATCCTCTTCCCAAACAACATGCATCTGGAAACTATATGAACTTTGATAAATGATGATAGCTATAGAAATGCTTCAGGCCTTTCGTTCATGAGGTCACTATGAGTCATGCTCAACTCAACTATGATCAACAAAAACAACATTCAATTGTGCTTGGACATTTGGGCTGTTTCGATGTCCTTGTGATGGTGAATAGCACTGCTGTAAATATTGGTATACAAATCTCCTTTTGTGCATCAGTTCTAATTTTCTCAGCATATATGCCAAGCAGTGGAATAACTGGGTCATATGGAATTTCTAGGTTCAGCTTTTTGGGCTAATGTCAAACTGCCTTACAGAATGGTTGTACCATTTTATAATCCTACCAATAGTGTGTGAGAGTTCCTATCTTACTACATCTTCTCCAACATTTATTACGTGCTGTCTTGTTAAACCTTGTCACTGCTACTGGTATGAGATGGTATCTCATCGTGGTTTTGATTTGCATCTCATTGCCAGTGATTTTGAGCATTTCTTCATGTGTTTATTGGTCATCTGAATGTCTTCCTCTGTCTTTTGCCCATTTTGTAATTGTGCTATCAGTCTTTTTTCATGTGGAGGCTCTGTAGGTTTCTGTAACTTTTGATATGAGACCCTTGTCTAAAATGGTACTGCCAAATGTTTTTTCCCAGTCAGTAGGTTTTCTTTTCACTCTGTTGGAAAATGTTTATGATGCATACAGGGATTTATTTAATCTTTAGAAGGTCCCATTCATCAGTTTTATTCTCTTCAGATTGTACATTTCTGGCTGTATTTGGCAGTCTCTTTATACCTTAGATTAGGTCATCTAAGTTTGATCCCAGTTTGTCTGTCATGAACTTTGTGGTTTTGGGCTTTAATCCAAAATCTCTGATCTACCCTGAGTTGATTTTTGTGTAAGGTGTGAGATAGAGATCCTGTTTCAGCTTTCTGCTGGTAGCAGTCCAATTTTCCCAGCACCATTTGTTGAAGAAGTTGTCGTTTCTCCATTTGATTGGTTTTCTTTCCTTGTCAAGTATCAGTTGACCATAGAAGAGGGATCTATTTCTGGGTTTTCAATTCTGTTCCATTGGTCTATATGTCTGTTATTGTACCAGTACAATGGTATTTTGGTTACTACCACTGTGTAGGAGGTTTTGGGGTCAGGGAGTGCTATGCCTCACACTTCATTTTTGTTTTTCAGAAGTGCTTTGCTTATTTGGGGCTTCTTTCCTCCTCAAATAAACTCAACAATTTCCCTTTTGAGCTCCTTGAAAAAAGACTTTGGCATCTGTATTGAGATTGTGTTGAACATGTAGATTGCTTTTTGTAGGATTGTAATTTTCACAATATTGAGTCGGAGTTAGTGAGGCTGGCTCAGAACAGGGAATGGTTCAGAGGGGCTGTACATCAAAAGTGATACAATGGCACATGACAACAAGAACATACTATTACAGGTTTAGAATCAGGAGTGGCATCCTCTTCCTAAACAACATGCCTCCAAACACCCTATGAACTTTGATAAATGTCAATATTTGTAGAGGGGCTTCAGGCCTTTTGTTCATAGGGTCACTATGAGTTGTGTTCGACTCGAAGGCAATCAACAACAATATCTATGAACAGGGCACAATTTTCCATTTCTTTAGGTCTTTTATTATTTCTTGCAGAAATATTCTGTGGTTTTCTTTGTATATGTCTTTTTTGTCTCTAGTTAAAATCATTCCCAAGTATCTCAATTTGTGGTTGGCTATTGTAATGGGGGTAGGTGTGTCAGACAGTAATACTGGCACAGGATAGAGCAGGGTTTAGGGCTGCTGTACATAGGGTGGCTATGAGTTGCAGGTGACTTGACGACACATAACAAAAACAACAGTTGTAAATGGCATTGCTTTCTTGATTTCCTTCTATGAGTTCTCTTTGTTACTGTAGAGAAATTTGTTACTGATTTTTGGATATTGATCTTATATCCTGCCATTCTATTAAATTGGTCTATTAGCTCTAACAGGTTTTTTTGGTTTGTTTTTTTTTTTGTTGAGTCCTTAGGGTTTTCTGTGCACACCATCATATCATTGGCATATAGAGACAGTTTAACCAGCTCTTTGCTGATCCGGATGACTTTTATTTCCTTCTTTGTCGCTCATATATTCTTTTTAAGCAGTTCTTCCTTCATCTGTTTCAATGCAGTGTTCATTATCTATCCACTCTTTTTCTATTCTCTCCCCAACCCACTCCCATGACAGCCCTGCTATAACAGTGATAGTATGCAGTATTTGTCCTTTTGTGACTTAGATATTTCATTTAGCAGTGTCTTCCAGGCTCCCCCCCCATGTTGTGTGTTTTACGAGTTCATTGTTTTTCAATGCTGCATAATATTCCATTGTGTGAACGCACTATAGTTTTTCTACCCATTCATTTGTTGATAGACAGTTGGGTTGCTTCCATCTCTTTGGTATTATGAATAACAGCAATGAACATGGGTTTGCATACATCTGTTTGGGTGGCAGTTCTGATTTTTTTAAAAATAAATTTTTATTTAATTATTGTGTGTGTGTGTGTGTGTGTGTGTGTGTGTGTGTGTGTATACCGTCAAATCAGATCTGACTGGTACAGGAGGAGATTGCCCCTCCTTCTCCAGCAGAGCATCTGGTGGATTCAAACAGCGCACCTCTGGGATTGCAGTGCAGCTTCTTGCCACTAGGCCACCAGAGACCCCTGTATTCTGATTTCTTTAGGGTATGTTCCCAATAGTAGAATTGCTGGGTCAAATGGTATTTCTAGTTCCAACTTTTTGAGAAAGCGCTAGACCACGCTCCATAGTGGTGTACAGCCATTCTACACTCCCACCAGCAATGAGTAAGAGTTCAATCTCTCCACACCCCGCCAGCATTTGCTGTTTGCTGCTTTGTTGCACTCCACTGCTAGAGTGCGATGATATAGTTGTTTTTAAAATGGCATATTTCTTTTTAATTAATTTTAATGAAAGTTTACAGAGACTTTGGATTTCCATTCATTGTTGCACTTTTCTTCCTGGCCAACCTTCCCCTACCAAGCATGACATTTAAAATTGCTTCCTCGTGGCAAGCTGTGCTGCAATCCCGAAGGCACATGGTTTAAATCCACCATATGTTCCATGGAAGGATGCACAGTCTCCTCTCCTGCAATTAACAGCCTCAGAAAACCCTCTGGAGGGAAAGTCAGCTGTGGGTCGGTTCCTACTTGACGGTACACACTACACTGCATCTTAGAACGAGCTCTGGTGGCCTAGCGATAAGAAGCTCCGCTCTATTTCTGAGGACGCTGTTGGAATACGCCAGCTGCTGCAATGGGATGAACTGTCTCTGGAAATCCGCCGGAAGGCCAGCTAATGTTTGGTTCCAACAATGTACATCTCAGAGTTCGACGATGAATAAGGATGATAGGAAGAATCAATGGTGTTGGCGAGGAGTACTGAACATCCAAAGGAAGAAATTTATGTTGGGTTAGAGGAAGAGCAGCCACGGCGCTCCTTACAGCCGAGGTGGGTCAAACTCGGTCAGGAGGGGCCAGTCCTGGGAAAAAGCCCTTCCCCCAGGAAAGGTGAGGGGCGGAGAAAGACCCTCAGTGAGAAGGATCAGTGCCTGTAAGGACGTCGGAGGGCGCGGGGCTGGCGCAGGGCAAGGCCGCTGTGAGTTCCAATCGACTTGTCAGCACATCACAAGCTTTTTAAAAGGACAGTCCTCATGTACAGCGGGGCTCGGGTGGGACAGGCCCTCCCGTCCCCCGCCCCTTAGGAAGCCCTGAGGGCAGAGCCAGGGTGCTTCCGGGCCCCTGGTTCCCAGGCTGGAAGCGATGCCCCCAGCCCCTCGGCCTGGGAACCAGTGTGCCACGTGGACCTCGGCCTCCTCAGAGCCGCCCTGCCTGCATGGCCGCCCGTCTCCAGCCACGAGCGGCTGGGGCGGACCCGGCGAGAGAACCCCGGCAGAGGAAGCCGGACCGACACGACCCACCCGCCCCGCAGCTGACCCACCCGGGCCGCCGTCCGCGTCACCCGCTCCGGGGCGGGGCCTCGCCCCACGGCCCGCCTCCGCCCCGGCAGGACCACTTGGGAGCGCCCCGCGCTCGGTC